AATAGTCAATCACTGTACTGGGTGACCTTGTTACTTGGTTGTATTGTACCAAGAAGGCTACAACCCTGTAACAATAGGAATGTTTACATCTAATCCACTATACAACATTCTATACACTATTCAAGAGGACTCTATTTTATTTGAATCACTACTTTCTTCATATTCTAAATATATAATATTCAAAAAACAACTTAAACATCATGGTATTTTATATTTAGATCAACTTACCATATTTGATAACTCATATCTTCTAGACTAGAAACATATTTCTTCATATATAAACAAAATTCCTTAAGGCAAACAATCACTCTAGTTTAGTTTTTTGGAAGACCAACTCACAAGTCACTTTTATAATTATACTTTTTATCAAAACTTATATTTACCTAATACAAATTATTATAGTTATACAACTAGACATTTTTCTTCACAAAAATTCATTGGCAATGTTATATTGAATTACAATTTACTCATCTCTATCCTTTTTCACCTATTCAATCAAATACATGCTCAGGCTGCTATTTTAATTTTTACACAATAACTAACAAATGCACAATCATTATTCTCATTAATGTTTCAACTAAATTTTATAAACACATTAATATATATAACAAAACTCTTAACTTTAATGCAAACTATCTTGATCTTATATATTCTATTAGAATTAGACACACTATTCAAACCTTAAATCCTTCTAACATTACTATTACAACACACTTAATTCTAAATATCTTTGAACACAGTTCACTTACAAATGATCTTTAGAAAATTGCTAATTATAACTTTAACTTATCAGAACTTTACTTTTATATAGATGGCTTTGTTATAAACTTGGGCATCTTACAATGCTCAATGAGTATTGGATCGACTCAAGTTTTAAATAATTCTGTACTTCATATCTTCTAAGCTCAAACTAAATATTGGCCTTGCTTATTCAAGTCAGAGCTTATTGCTATTCTATCAGCTCTTATTATTGTCCCTAGAAACTGTATCATAAACATATATACAGACTCATAATCTGTAATTTCTTAATATAATAGTCTTTTAAACTTAACAACAATTATATCATACATTTACACAACATATTTCTTACTATAGAACACACTTATCAATTTCATCAAATCATACAATATCCATATTATCTTTCACAAAGTTATTGCTTATCAAGATAACAAATATAATAATCTTGCTGACCAACTAACACATAACCATCACAACCTGCTATACCTTATTTTTATATCTTATAATACTTACAACTTAGCTTATATTTTAATCTTTAAGAATTTTTCTTTGGAGTTATCTACTTGTTATAGCATTCGTACAATATATCATGCACATATATATGCACTTTGGATAACACAAAACTATTTTCAAAAATAACACAAAATCCTTAACCAAGTTAACTAGCAAGCCACCTGATTTTATATTAACAATAATCAAAAAATCTTAAACTTTTCTCATAGCTTTCAGTCCTTTACTCTTAAATTTTTTAGAATTAAAATCCTATCAGATGAACTTCTTACTTCACACATTTTATATAAATACTATTCTTTATATTTACCTATTTGTCATCAATGTTACCAAATTAGTTCACATCTTTAGTGGACAACTTGTCCATCTAACCAATTATTACTTAACCTTATTAATATCTCACTACAATATACTCTTAACTCAATACACTTAATACTACATCTAATACTATAACCAACTTATATCACCAAATCAAACTACTTCACAGCATGTCTATTCATAATAGATCTGATGTACCATCAATTTTCTCAACTTTAACAGGCTTAATATCAAATAAACTTATCAACACTATTACAAATTTGTCTTCCAAAAAAATAACTACTACACTTTCTATAAAGTTTTTACTTCATCTTAATCAACAAATCTATTACAAAATTTGGATTCTTTATTGTATTTCAAAATCTATAGCCCAACTTCCTAACTATAATTCATTATTAAATTCTGTTCCTTCTGTATTACACATTTCTCTTTTTAATTTAATTCATTTTAAAATTAACTTCTGATATATCTAATAGATAAAATATTAAACTAATTCTCTATACATTATTACTAATACCCAAATCTAGGTAAGTCTTGGCCACTCTGGTTGGTTTAAATCACAGATAAATTAGTCTGAGCTTCTATTCTTTCTATAATATTTTAAAAATAGATTTGTACTTCATATAAAATTTCAATTGAATATTCAATAAAGATAGAGGCATGGCCTCACCATTAATATTTAAAAAAAAAATATTAATATAAATTTTTATATAATATGTTTAATATATCAATTAAGTATTATAAGAGTATATAAAAAAATAAATATTATATTATATCATAAGTCAAATATTACAGTATATGTTAGATATTATAATATAAGTCAGATACTATAATATAAGTTAGATATTATAATATAAATTAAAAATATATAGAAATCAAATATTATAATACAAGTTAAATATTAATTTTTTTTTTAATATTAAGATAAGTATATGCAATCTAGAATTTTATTAATAGTATATATTGGCTAGCATCTGTTGATATAACAGACACAAAGACAATTATAAAAAGAGTGTATAACTAGCTACTTGTACAACTTTAGTTATTGTCTAATTTAAATAATCCACTCAAAGGTTTTATACTAGTTTCTATATCTAAGACCCATCTGTAGATCCTTTATTTAAATACACTGATTCTGTATTTACTTTACTCTACCAATAATCTTAATAAATTAGTTTTTTTTTGCAAGAAACTTATTAAGAAAGGTTTAAAAAAATAAGATGATTTTAACAAGTTTTATCTATAACTTTTTGTTAACTAAAAAAACACAAGTCTGCAAAAGCTACACAAAATACAAATACTAAGTAAAAAGAATAGTAAAGTTGCTAATTATATTTAAACATGTGCCTTAAGCATAATGTTAAGTAAGCCTTTATTATACATAAATAATCATTATAGAGTAGTATATCTTATAACAAATTATGTAATATTAGTTTATTAAATAATAAAAACAAAACCAGTTAAAAAATAAAAATAAAAAAAATTAAAAATTTAAATTACTCATGATTATTAAAAAAGTATTGTAAAATGTATAAAAAAAATTGGTAATCAATTGTGCAACAATATAGAATTATTTTTTATTTAAAATATATTTCTCTGAATTCAATTCAAAAATTTATCAAATTTAGTTGATATATTTTTTTTTGTTGTTTTAAAATTTATAAAAACAGTTCTAAATTTATAAATCAAGATAAAATTATAAAACTTCTCAAATTGGTTTGTAATGATATAACATTGTCCTACGATTTAATCGTAATCCTATAAATTTGACATTGGAGAATTTTAAAATACATTTTAAATATTTACTTTAAAAAAGTGTTAAATTAAATCGATTAAATCAATAAATTTTATTTACATAAAAAGATTAAGCATTAAAAAGCTCTTTTTTTTTTTTTACAAATACATGTAATACTTATCTAAATCAGTAAGACTTTTGAAGAAATAGAATAGTACAGCAACTTTTGAAGAAATAAGTACAATAAATTTGAAGAAATAGAAATAGTACAGTAACTTTTGAAAAAATAAGAATAGTACAAAACATCTATGCCAAGATTTATGAAGACAAAATGCATAAAAATATAATTATCAGGACTATAAAGTACCAGTTAATTGTTTTAAGATATTCTTTTTTTCTTCCGGATCTAAATGTTCTAATAATGATGTTATTCCATCTAAAACAGCCTGTATATTGGTCTTTCCTAATTCAAATATTTGTTGAGCTATTGCTTCGTTTCTTATACTTTCAATTCTTGCCTCAATTGACGACGACGATTTACTAGATGTTTCACCATCCGTATCATATTCGTTGTTACTATTGTGGGAATTTGTTTCTAAACTACTAAGCATTTTATCGAACCAATACACAATTTCAACATCTGATTCTTCCCAATCTAATTCTTCTCCAACATCGTCATAAAACCATGTAGCTAAGTAACCTTTCATTTGAGTCTTTGTAAGATTAGGATTAACAGCAGTCAATTTTTTAAATACATATTCTTCATGTAACCGTCTCCTCACACGCCAATAGAAAAATTTTCTAGCTTCTTGCCATTTCAAAACTTTCCTAATTGTATTTTTAGCCTTCATTCTACCAGGTGTATCATGTAAATCAGCAAACTGCAAAGCAATTTGAGAATAAACAGGGAGTAATTCATTTTCTCGAGACTCCAAAAGCATCTTAATTTCAGATTTTTCCATTTCAGTTTTTGAAGGATCTTCTAACGATTTTTTAAGATTACGATATGTTTCATCTAAACGTTCCATTGTAGCAAGTAGTTGCGGTTTTCGATATTTGATCTCAACAATTCCTTCAGGCTCAAGGACACCAGCTCTTGATTTTGCATCAGCATACATTTCCATCATGTCTTCATTAATTGATGGATCTACCACCACCCATGCACCTCCACGAAGCTCTCCGTTTGGTACAATATAGACAAAAACGGGTTGTTTGTAATTTGTGAGTGCATCAACAATATATGAGCCATATTTCAATATCTCTAAGAACATATCACGTTGACCACCAGAAAATCCACGCCAATTTGCAAAGATCATTAGAGGCAACTGTTCACCTTTGTTAAAATCATTAATGGCTTGTGCAGTTTTATAGGCTGAATTTGGATACCAAACTTGACCTGCTTCTTTCATTACTTGCTGTTGAGATTCGGAATTAGCAGGATCAGCGGGAACTATATGTTCTACAACACGTGTTTCAACTGCAATTACACCCATAGGAACTCCGCCAAGGCGTGCACGACCAACAACAACTGTTTTAGCCCAATTACCAAGCGTTTCTACAAATGAATTACGGTCAAAAAATCCACTAATCCATTTATCAGATTCGTATTTTCCAGTAATTAACCAACGAGGGTCGTATGGCCCTTTAGGTGGCATGTAATCAATCTCTCGGTTCCAACTATCAGAATTGGGAAATATAGGCACAGGTGAATTTTTAGACGATGGTATATATGAGAGCCATTGAATAATCTTTGTAATGCCTTCTAAATCATTCTGAGCAGTAATATGAGATACACCATTTCTGTACATAATTTGTGTACCTCCAAGCTGTAGATTTGATGTGTAAACTTCTCGACCAAGAACCTTATTTAAAGCTGATGCACCTGTAAGTATAATTGGTTGTCCTTCATTCTGGATGGTTCGCTGACCAAGGCGAACTAAATATGCACCGATACCTTTAAATAGAAAATCAAAAATGAATGATAATTTCAAAAATGATAGTTAATCTGCACTAGAAGTCCTTTTAAATACGTACCAACTGAACGACAAGTAACAAGAGTAATGGTAAATATATCTTCGTATGCACGTGAAGTTGCGCCAGCTATTAAACCTGAACCTTTCAAAGATTCTACACCAAGCCCGTCAGTAATACCTATAATATCACTTTGTAACAAATAAACAGTTAAAAATTAACTCTTTTATTTTAAAAGAATCTTTTTTAAGAATAAGAATAAATTAATTACGTGATTTTATATCGAACTTCATCTTCCTCAACTAATTCTTCAACGATTACGGATTTTTGCCTATTCTGGTTCAATTGTTTGTAAGTTTCAGAATCAAGGTATAAATAGTTCACGCCTTTACTAGGATTATTTTCGTCAACCCAAGCAACTTTGAAATGATTAATTATTTCGTCTGCCAACCCAATTCTGGCTCCAGAATTAGCTGAAAGATATATTCTCGGGATTCCCAATTTTCTTGCAAGTTCTGTAGCTTTGGCAAAGAACTGATCTTCAACAGGACCAAATGAGCCGATTTGATATGTAATATCATTTGCAATTACAATAATTTTGCGACCTCTAGGATATTCTGGTGTAAATAATGTAAGCATCCATGCTACCATACCAAATGAATTGGTACCAGGAGAACGATCAACTTCTTGCAATTGTCCTTTTTCGTCTAAAACTAATTCTTTAGCCTCTAGTATGTCTGTTGGGCATTTCAATTCGGGACAATTATGAACAGCTCGATTCCATTGTGTACGAACTGCTTGTCGGAACAGCTCGGGAAAATCATAAACATATGTAGTACCCATAAGATGAGCTTTGAAACGTTTTGGTTGTAGCCATTCCTTGGTTGAATAAGGAGTGTGTGTTGGTTGTAGGTGCATAGATCCTATTTTTCCAATTGATTTAAGAATTGTATTATCACCCTCAGTTTTAACCTCTTGGTAAGTCTCTATTTTAACAACATAACCAGAAACATTATTGATGATGACACGAAGAGGATATTGATTGCCTTTTATAGGATCTTCAACTTTAAACCGAGCTTCAGCACCAGTAACACGTAATCTCCATAACCTTTTTCCATGTCTGTCAATAAAGTTTTTAACGGCCTCTTCAATTTGACGTGGTTCCAAAACGAAAGTTGGAATATAATTTATGAATAAATGGTTACAGTCTGAATTCTTGTGATTAGAACTAACAATTTCAAGGGTATCTAAAATTTCATTCAAAAGTCGATCAGATTCTGAAAGGAGATATTCTGTATGTACGCTATTTCTAAAGTCGCAAATTAAAAAAAAAAAAAGGTTGGATATAAAAACTGATAAAAAAAATAATTTATTTAATATGTTTAAAATAAAAACCTCATACGGCCAGATCGAACTAAAGCACGAACAAAGAATCTGCAATCCGAGGTGTTTTCTTTACCAATTGCATAATACACGCGAATTTGTCTGTTATCAGTAGCGCAAGGTTTAATGTCAAATTTCGATAACCTTGAAAGTTCAAGCTAATTCATAAAATGAAATAAATTATAAATAAATCTATGGCTTGATAATTCAAATATTGTTATACATTTAAAAATAAAATCTTACTTCATATGCCATAGCTGGTTCAATATGTCGAATTGTTTGATCTTCAGCAAAGTTATTGGCCTCACGAAAAGTAAAATATCCTGGATACTGGCCTTTTCGGAACAAGACAATCGTGACACGTTTAATTCCGTGTTCACTGAGTTCAACTGTATGACGTTGAACTATAGGCTGTAAATCTCGTTTAAGAATTTCATCTTCTAATGGGTCATCATCCAATCTTAATGCGATATTAATGATGTTATTGGCAATGCTATCTGTTAGATCTTGTGCTCGACGTCCATTTTGACGAAATACATCAAAAATACGCGGAAAGTTTTGTTCAATTTCTGCGTTAGAAGTGCACGAAATCATCACACCAACGCGAACATGTTCATTGTCGTTATCCATGCGTGGAGTCATGTAACTTAAATCTGATATAGATCCATTACGTGATATACGGTAAAGTGAAGATTGTGAAGTTAATGGAGATAATGGTTTTGGTGTGGTATCTGGGTTATTGTTGTGAAGTATAAACTTCCAGGAAATCATATAAGGAACTTGTTCTGGGTAGTATTCAAAGTCCATAAGTTGATAAACACGATATGCACGTCTGGCATATACTTCTAGTGCAGCAAGACTAATCCACGCATCATTATGGTAAAAGAAATTCGGTAAGATATCAAATACAGCAAATCGCGTGTCAATAAGTTCTTTGAGGGAATCATAACTTGGAGTACGATAGTCATAACCATCGTCACCATAATGACTTTCAATAACAGCTGCTTTAAGAATTTGTTCCATTTGTACAGATCTTTCTTCATATGATGGTAGTTGACAATGTATTAATAATTCACGAGCTTTAAGTGAAACGCTAGTCGTAACTCTTCCTCGAAGTTCGGCTAATTTTTTTAGTACAGGCGAGAAGAACTTGTCAAGAGCCTGTCCAACATTATCAGGCTTAAGTTGATCTAACAAATGTATTATCAAATTGTTTTTTGCACTAACTTTTGAATGTGACAATACAATTCTAATCACTTTATCAAGATCGTTCTTATAAGTGTCACGTAGAGCAAGGATAACCTCCTCTTCACGTTTATTAGAGTCTGAAAATAGTGCTTCAACTTCATGATACTTATTCAAGAAGTATATTATTTCATTCCATTTACGGTATTTAACTCCCGACATATATCGATTAATAACCTCCATTAAAGGACTTATTGATGACGTAAAGGTTGCAGAATCACCAAGGGAGACAAAATCTCGCGAATAATTATCGATTAATTGTTTAAGATGTTTTGCAGGAAATTCACGATCTTGTTTAGCAGTTTCATCTTGTAGAGTAGAATAAATCTTGACTGGAATCCTTCCAGGAAGTGTTGATAAAACAGAATGAAATTCCAAATAAGGCAATTCAGGATTTCTAAGAAGATCCATTATTTCTTTAACACTACTTTGTAATTTTGTGTGATCATCATAACCGTCTAAGATGTTTTCAAGATTCTGTTTAACTTCAACATATCTTTGATGAGCCTTATCACCTATAATAACTGGTGGGTTCATAAAAGGAAGCTGACCCTCATAAAGAGTCGCATGTCGAACATGACTTGGATCATCCAGAGTAAGAATACCAATTATATCACCAGCTTCAAGTGTTGAATTTACTTGTTTTATAAATTGTACGACACCATCTTCAGTAACTATTAAAGGCATATACATTTTCATCACCTATACATTATAACATCATCATTATAATGAATGAATGTATTTTATCAATAACTATCAAAATTACAAATAAAAGTTTTGATTTAAAGATTATACCTCTATTTCAGCATAAGCATCACCACTATGAACGTGAGCTCCAGATTCAACCAAGAACCTTACAAGTTTTCCAGGAGATGGAGAACGAAGTTGAGTTGGATCATTTTCTTGTTCTAATAAACAAGTTTTACCATCAATCATTAAACGAGTTGCTTGGACTTCTTCACGGAAATAACATGTATGACTTTTGCCATCTAATAACACTAAAAGACCGCCGTCAGAAAGAGCTCTAACTGATACTTGAGTCTTGGAACCATTTAAATATAGAATGAAGGAATAAGGAGCGGATTGCATGGCAGTAAATTTATATTGAATACCCTCATATATAAAATCAATAGTAAAGACAGTTTGTAAAATGTCCTTGCTAGGAATTTGACCTTTTTCTAAGAAACGTTTATATTCAGCTAAAGATTCTTGTGATTTAGTGTAAGCCTTCGCAACAGCGCCACATATAATAGCGAGCATCTTGTCAGGTCTCTCTACAGTTAAGTTTTCAGCAGATATCAAGGTATCCAACCAACCAGTTGTAAATTTATTTTCCTCAAATGTATTTGTTTCTAATAATTTTATTAAATATTCAACAGTAGTTCGAAAGTCACCACGAATTGATAGTTCTTTAAGAGCGATTATCATATTTTTACGTGATTGTTGACGATTTTCACCATAAGCAAAAATATGACCAAATTGAGAATCTGCAAATTCATGAAGACCACCAGCCGAATTTACCGAAAAGTAACCCCAAACATTAGTACTACTTCTGAAATTTAATTCATGAACCATTCCACTACTAGGTTTGAAACCAGCATCAGGATTTTCAGCGGTGATTCTGACAGCAATTACATGACCTTTAGGAGCAGGTTTTCTTTGAGTTTGCAAGGATTCCGGATTTGAAAAATCAAAATCAATTTCAGAAGTACCATTATGATCTAAACCATAAAGTACACGTATATCACGAATTTGATGAAGAGGAATTCCCATTGCAATTTGTAATTGAGCAGCAGGTAAATTTACACCAGAAACCATTTCGGTAGTTGGATGTTCTACTTGTAATCTTGGATTTAATTCAAGAAAACAAAAAATATCATCATTACAATAAAGATATTCTACGGTGCCTGCACTAACATAACCAACCAATTTAGCCAATCTAACAGCAGCTTGTTCCATAGCTTTAAAAGTATCATGATTCGCTATAGTTACTGGAGCTTCTTCAATAATTTTTTGATGACGCCGTTGTACAGAACAATCACGACCAAATAACGAAATTGCATTACCATATTGATCAGCAATAACTTGAACTTCTAAATGACGAGCATTACCAGCAAGTTTCATAATAAAAATTGGAGAACCAGGAACTTCACCTCGAACTTGAGCGAAAGCTTGTTTAAAATTATCAGGAGTTTCAACTTTACGTATACCTTTACCACCACCACCCTCTGATGCTTTTATCATAACAGGAAAACCTATTTTATTGGCTCTTATCAAACCATCCTCAGCATCTTTTACACATGCTTTCTCAAAAATAACATCAGGAACCATAACATGACCATTATCATCAAATTCAGTCTCCGTAATACCACTACCACTCCACTCCATTGTAGGGACATCAGCTGATTGAGCCACGATAGTTGAAGATATTTTATCACCAAGAGAACGCATAGCAGAACCAGGAGGGCCTATAAATACGATTTTGTTTTTACATTGTGCAAGTGCTTCAGGCAAGCGAGGATTCTCTGACGCATGACCCCTAAAATAAAGTCAAATTAATTAAAATTAATAAATTAATAAATAAATATATAAAAATATATATATATGTATGTAGAATAAAATTTCAAACTTTAATAATTCTTACCATCCTGCCCATACAGCATGAACGCCTGTTCGCTCAGCTATATCGACAATTAGAGGTACATTGGCATAATTATTATTATTAGAACCACCAGGAACTTCAATATATTGATCAGCCATTCGAATATATTCAGCATTTATTTTCAAATCTTCAGGAGTGGCCATAACAGTGAATTCGATAGAACGTTCATCACCAAATATTTCATAAGCCCATTTTCTAATAGAACGGATTTCTTTTACAGCAGCGATACCATTATTTGCTATTAGAATTTTTGTGATAACTGTATGTCCATTATGTTTTTCGACAAATTCTCGAACATTTCCTCTGGGTGCTACTTTTAAATTGTTCCAACCTAATCAATCAGAATAATATTTAAGAATGATAAGAAAACGTAGAAAAAAAAATCTGATTAATCAAATGGTTAAAAATTATCGTTATCATCAAAAAAAAAAAAAAAAAAAAAAAAAAATTTTGATGAGATTATATTACATACCGATAAACTTTTTGTCAACACCTTTATTCATTATTGTTTCTTACTTTCTTTTTTTCTATTTCTTTTTTTTAATTTAAAAAACGGTAATAAAAAATAAAAAATTTTAAAAATCTAAAATTATAAAAAGAAGTAAGAATTTTAGCGGGTTAAAATTGAAAAAAAAGATCAATTTTTTTACCATATTTGATACCGGGTATTTATGGCTGCCAAAATTTGGGGAAAGTGACAGACAATATTTTTACTGCTCATCTATAAATAATTCATATGAGAGCTTATGATACACAGTAACGATAAATAAAAAAAAAAGATCAAGGGTTATAATGACAATGTTAAACGCTAACTGCAAAAGTATATTAATTATCGTCTACTTCCATAAGAGGGATATAATCATAAGAATACGCATTCACTCAAGAATATTAAAGTTATGAATTGTTTCATGTGATATTATTCTACCTATATTTATACTGGTTTAATCGCATGCACATCAATTGATAGTTATTTTATGTCTAAAAGAATGTAATACCGCTCTATTTGGTATCGTTATATCGCCGAATAAACAACGTTATCTTGTGTACATATCGGTATGAACGAAAAGTATTACGCACGTCATATTACTGTAATTATGTGAGATCTGTTAATTGAGTCCCTTCAGATGTTTTGTTAAAAAAAAAAACCTTATTTATAAACCTATAATTAGTAAAACTTATTTATTTAATGCATACCGATACAGCCGTGAGAGCGGTGATGAGTAATTGTAATTCCGGTTTATTGCTCTTTCTCGTCAAGTTCTTATTATTGAATATTTTCACGGACCCTAAGCTTGCCACGTTTTTCTAAAATTTTATCTTTAATAGACATATCAAATAAAATTAGTTCATAGAAAAGTTTAAGATAATCTATTTTTGTTAATGATTTTTTTTTTTGACCAAAAAACTCTTTTTTCCAAGAGGTTATTATATTCTTAATGTGGGTTAAAAAGGCAAAAAACAATCAAACATTAAAAATAGTTTTTGTTCTAATCGTCAAATTCGGAAAATTCGGCAGAAAAATAAATAATTAAAATGTGATATAAAACGACTTGTCAAATTTGGATTTACAGTAAAATTTGGTATAGCGTTTTTTTCATTAATATATATATATATAGACAAAAATAAATTTACGCCATTATGTATTAAGGTTCCCAAATTTCATTTTGCAACTCGTATCTAGTTACGAAGTATCCAGGCGTAATTTACTACAAACAGTGCTCATGATACTGACATCACAGAAACCCTAACGCCGTTACTTAGGTACATATACTGTGGTAGATTCACTGATCTACACAATGCGATCGATCATGCACAATGGTTTCAAATAGAACATTGTATTTTATACCAACATTTCATAAGAAAATTTCTCTTTTGCTAGAGCACAGAATAATGAAACTAAAGTGATTTTCAATAATTTAATCTAGTCGGTAAATGTCTCGGTGCTAACGAGTAGTATTTAGGGTACACAGCTAATGTTGACATTTTTTACAGGGCTTCAAAAATACATAGCTTCCGAAATAGTTACACGTAGAGGTTGGAACCGGTTTTAATAATTCGGGTTTATCACATGACTTTTGTGATATTTTAAAATTTTACCAGTTCCAACCTATTGATAAATTTTTTTTTTATACGATAATACTTCTTTTAAATACATTACACGAGTAATGTTAATAAAAATGTTCAGTATGAACAAGAATTTATTGACTGGATTAGAGGTTGGAATAATTCGGGTTTATCACGTGTATTTTGTGATATTTTAGAAATTTATCCAATAAAATTAAATTTTAATAAATTCTAAAATATCACAAAATTCATGTGATAAACCCGAATTATTAAAACCGTTCCAACCTATAGACTGGATTTAAAAAAATTTAATACAAGCTATAATTCCAAAACAACCAAGGCATTTTATAAACATTTGTCGCAAATACATTGTAGAGATGGTAAAAAAAACAGTTGATTTTAAACATTTTTTCACCGATTTAAAACAGGTGATGATTAAAGCCCGAATAGTTAAACCTAAATTTAAATATATTTAAGATCATAATCATCACCTGATTTCATATAACGTATATCGATTATCGATTCGGCAAAATAGTCATGAGAACAACGATAGCAAAATTATCAGTTGGGCATTTTTGTTTGGCGTTAGTAAATTAGTTTCATTCGGCTTTGCAGACCAGAGCCGAACCAATGTTCATAGACGGTCTGTGTATCTTTCTAAAATTTATCTCATTCGAATTGCAAACTAAATTTGGATTTTTGAAAACTGAGTCCGCTTCATTTCACCAATCATTTCATAAACATCTCATTTCACAGGTATTACAGACAATCAATTCACAAACAAATTCATTTATGTATTGTTTATTTTGTCGATAGTTTATTTAAATAATTGTCAATTTATTTCACTGATAATATTTTGCATATAATTTTTATTTTATTTTTTTTATAATTGTACTAACCCCTAAACATGATTCTGATTCTAATAACAATGACTATAATTATCTTGGCAGTGTGAGGCAGTGAGCTAACGGTGAAATAATTATCTATGAAATGCCCTTTAGTGCTCTAACAAAACGTTTCCTTGAGTGATTTTACTTCATAATCCCCTAACTTCTACCCTTATTCTAAACGTTAACCCTAACATTAACGAACTTTAAATTTTTGCTGCGCCACATACCTACGTGCTTTTTTATTGGTCACGCTGGGAATTATTATTGGCCAATGCTCATGTGATTAATATTAATTGGCTTAAGGCCTATAATCGACTTCAAATTTTGAACCAAGCCATTTTTAAAGTCAACACTTAACGTTAATATATTTATAGCAAACCCACAAATTAACTTAGCCATTTTGCCGGCAAGTAGTTTGCATATATAGCGATAGTATTATTAATATTTATTAACATAGCTGCTACTGCACTGCTAACGTGAGACCAAAACAAATATTATTTGTAAACAAACTCATCCAATAATAATGCTGTGTTATTTTATAATTGTCTAACAATTGAAAGTTCATACTACAATATAAAAAAATATTAGACATTCGTATTACGTACGTATAAGAAACTATATCGATATACAGTAATAATATTAATACGATATATAGGCCGGTTACTTAAATCAAACCAATGTAGACTAGAGATTATACTCTGCTGGAATGGTATTAATAAAAAGGTCTCTAAGAAGTATCAGATTGGTATAGGCGAGCCTTTCATTGTTTCACTAGCAGAGTAATATATACTGTACATGTAAGTGAGAATGGAATTTCTTAGAACTTTAGAGCTAGAGTGTAGGTTCATATAAATAAATTTTACTGTTATAATAGGATGAAACCTGAGTTGCGAAATAGTGAAATCCGCTTTGCAGATCAGGTTAGGGTGAAATCCGTGTTTTATGTTTTTATCGTATAAAAGCGGATTTCACCCTTATGTAATGATTATAGCGGATTTCACTATTTCGCAACTCAGGTTTCACCCTGTCGTATTATATTTACATTTAATTAAAGTACAAAACCTCCGTTTAATTATGCTAAATGTTATTGGCTATGAGTTTACAATTCCATATCACTAGAAACAAAGCAAGTTACGCTACGCACTGTAAACTATTCCTTCTTCTGTCTAATTTCTTCTTTTTCATGTTAAATTATCTATTAATATGATGATCATTTATTTAATAAAAGCATTTAAAATAATTTAAAATAATCGTAAAAATGCGATTTTTATATTAGTAATTTCAATATATTTATCGACCTATCACGCAAGCATAAGAATAAGTTATAAGTTATTTGAGTGGTATTTAAGATTGCTGAAAATGGCTATGTTTTTGAACGATGTGAAATAAGTTGGACAATATTATCGAAATGGCTATGGAACATCACCTATTCAGGAAAAAAGCAATTGAATGGCTACAAAAAGTAAAAAATAATAATCTTCAAAAAGGCAGTTAATTTGAAAGTATTAACGATTTTCTAGAAGAATTATTAGAGTAAATGAAAGATTAAATTTTTTAAAGAACGTGGAAATAGCAAACTAAAAATACAATTTACTTGCAATAATTTTTTGCATATTAAAAACGATCATATGCCTTACTTTTCGTAAAACAATTTTGGTCTAAAATTTTGCAAAATTATACAAGAAATTTTGTAGGCTGGGCCAGGCCAGGCTAGGCTAAAGAAAAAATTTAATTATATGCGGGTCAGGTCGGGTTAGCAAAAAAATTTTAATCCTAAATGTGGACCGGGCTGGGCCTCAAAAATATGCAATTTGCAGGTTCCTACCAGATAGAGTTATAATGTTGTATATATAAGGTTGTAGTGAAGATATGATAATAATTGTTATATCTATGCTTGCTTCTTGTTCAATTGCTGTATTGATATTATAGTTGGCTGTATAGATTTTATAATATGGATTAGATAATGTAAGCTCTGAGTATGCTGATTTAGCTATTTCATTTTAGTTATGTTAATAATATAATATTATGATTTTTGACAAAATTCAAATTATATTTGGAATTTTAGTTTATTTTTTTTAATTTTTTTTTTTTTTTTTAAAGTGATCTCTTTGGTCTTTTGATTTTTATTAATCACTTATCAGTATTGGGGTTCAATAAACCACTACAGGAGAGCATACAATTGGTTACACATATAAATTTTTTATATTATCTATTTAAAAAGTTCACTTAAAGGTTCCTTACCAATTGTCATATTTAATACTTCTGAACCTGTAACCTATATTAACTTACTGAGTCATATACAGGACTAATTTATCTTCAAGATAAACTTTCTAGAGCCTTTTGTATTCATTTTTACAGTTGATCTAGGTATTACTATGGCAGAACCAACACTTGTGATCAGGACTTAACTATTAAACCACTATGCCCTTTTAGAATTCATTTAAACCCTAGCATCTACTTCATAACATAATTCCAGTACTTTAGTATATCTCTGAATTTTGTCAGACTTTTAATCCAAATGGCCTATATAGAACTATAACCAGTTTATC